CATACGCCAATCAATTGTAATTATTTTTTTGAATCTGTTAAAATTAAGACTTTATCTGTTTTCAAAAGGACACTATTGAAAACTTCACGAATGTGCAACTATGATTAATAAAATTATCACCAATTGCCTGCGGAAAGCTCTTTCCCTAACACAGATTTCAAAATCGAATTCCATCTGGTCTCGCCGAACGTTTTTTTATTCAATTACCCCGTGTGGTGGTGGTAGTGTCCGGTCGTCATCAGCAGCAGTACTTTTGGCGCGTGGCGTTGTACATTTCCTCACCAAACAGGGGATGTAAGATTCGTTTACAATTATGTGGGATTCATCATCAGAGGATGTTATATTTCGATATACCGAGCTGCGGTCCGGTGCAAGAAAATGGAGAAAGAAAAATATATATATAAGAAAAAATTAATCATGTTGAAAAAACTACAAGGAACAGCCCTATGGGGTTGTAGGCAATGGTGACGTAGGACTACGTGGTCTTATATAGTAAATCTTATTTGTTAACTGCAGCAGGAGCTTGTGTTTTGTGTAGGAATAGAAAGCGGGGTTCTGCCTGTTTATACTCTTTAGTATGACGCGCTTGACATAGATGGACCACAGCGACTCGCGAAGACCTACTGATTCCGATCAATAGCGGTGCAACTTCTTCTTCCTTCTATGGATGGTCATGTGGGCTGCAGCTCGCTGCTTGTAGGCAGCCTTTTGTTGTGTACTGGAAAACATCAAAACTCACCACGTAGTGATTGAATAAAAACCGTTTGGTGAGACCGGATGGATTACAACTTTGAAATCTGTGTTAGGGAAATCGATTTTTGCAGGCAATCGATAATAATTCTAATTATCATAGCAGTTGCACATTCGTGAAATTTTCAATAGTGACATTTTGAAAAATGATAAAGTCAGATTCAGATTCGTAGAAAAAAATCCTATCGATTGGCGTATTAAGAATTAAAAATTATCATCTGTGGATCAAAATCAGACCACTTTCATGCCGCGACCGACAATGGTTTTTGAAATTGCACCTCCAATGTTGCCTTAAAGTACATGGTATGTTAGATTGGAACATATCTAAATAGAGCTGGAATTAGGCGTAACAGCTTTTGTTAACAATGACTTCTCACGCCCATGCAAACCAACATTACCGTCGGGTAGAGGAAGTCTTACCCTACCTGATGGCGATGTTGATTTGCGTGAGCGAGCCTTGACTTTCAAGACACCCTCAAAAGAAGTCATTGTTTACAAAAACTGTTACGCCCCAATTCCCGCTCTATCTTGATACGGGAACTGACATCCGATTGATGACCTTAACAAATGACTAAAAAATACTCGTTTACAAATTTATGGTGGTCCTGAAAAGGAACGTTTTGTAGTGATGGTTGAGTAATGCTGAGCTATAAGGGGAATTAAACACAGATAGATGAGGATGGTGAGCTGTATGTTGTTTGGAATGAGGGTGACGCACTTGGCATAGATGGCCCACAGTGACTCACGAAGAGCTACTGATTCCGATCAATAGCGGTGCGGCTGCTTCCTCCTTCTATGGACGCTCATGTGGGCTACAGCTCGCTGCTTGCAGACAGTCTTTTGTTGTGTTCTTGAGAACAATGTTCAACGCCACGTGCCGAAAGCACTGCTGCTGCTGATGATGATGATGCCGATGACCGGACACCACCACACACGGTGATTGGAACTGAATCCGATCAGCGGTTGAGGCCAGCCTTGATAGCTATCTGCTTGCGGGGAGCCTTTCATTGTGTATTGGAGAACACCATCACTCACCACGCAGTGATTGAATAAACACCATTTGGTGAGACCGGATTCAATTCAACATTGAAATCGCTTTTCACAGGCAATCGGTGATAATTTTAACTTTCATTGGAACAGTTGCACATTCTTGCAATTTTCTATAGTGAAATTTTGAAAAATGATAGTCTTAAATTTAACAAATGCGTAGAAATATTTCTGATCGATTGGGGATAAAATTATAGAAATTGGTCCAGGGGCAGCTGAGTTATTAACGTTCCAAATCTTTCATAATTTTGTTATATATTCCATTTTTGGATTTCACAAAGTGTACCCCATATAGAAATCACAGACGTAATCCTACGTCTAAAAAAAAGGGTTGCTGACTTGAACTACGAACGTTGCGACAATCAGGCCTGTGCTTTCTGCACTGCTCTCTCCATGTTTCGGAATATTGATATGCTAAAGATAAACGCTTCTATTGAATTGGATAGCAAAGGTTCCATCATCAGAAGAAAGGTTTGTGTATTTGCTCATTTTTTATATGCATTGCATCCTCCTTCACTCGCGCAGCGCTACTGTGTCTGTTGCTTGGATTCAGGCAAAGACTGGCTCTTTATATGTTGTCTTCGCTAAAAGCGAACAAGATACGCTCATTTCCTCTCATACTCGACTTCGTTTGCTTTTTCTGCTGGAGAGAATCGAGGCAAGTGTGTGCGTCGTTCTACCATGTTATACATAAAAATCAAGGAAAATTCTTACTTGTGTAAGTGAAAGCATATACAGAGCACTGAATAAAAAAAGATTAAAAATCCTTGCATCGTCTGTAAGGTCAACTTCTAACATTTGCTGCTATGTTCATGCACAGAGGATGATAGAAAATGGAACTAACATTCATTGTAATATTTTTTTTTTGTTTGCGTGCATGTACGAAGGTTACTTTTGCTCATAATACCCTTGGAATGCACTTGAAGTTCTCCTCGGAAAGCCCATGGACGATTTTTTTCAGAATTTTATTGAAATTCTCCACATAAGAAGAATACTGTCCAGAGGAGTTATCTGCATTAATGTCGTGAAAAAGTTAATGATTAGAAATTCGCCTCTTTGGATTGTTGCCCTTGGGAAGGGTTGTTTTCGCCACTCCCTCTTTATGGCACTGACACCAGATCTCTAGAACCAGTACTGTCTATGAAAGCATATCAGTCCTATCTGGAAAAATAGCAGGCAGAGAAAAACGCTGTTTGAAATGTATTTTTCCGTAGGCTCTTATGGAACTCATTTCTGGCAAAAGTCTATATCGGACTGTTATGCTTTTATGGGCAGAGTAGGCCGATCTCAAAATCCGTTCTATGAGACCATAGTACATTTTGCACTTGAGCATTTACAGGTCAAATATCAATAAAAAGAAATTGAATTTCAACGTCGACCTTCTCCGATTTGCATGAACCTTTGGATAATTGTTTGTTGTGGTACATAAATCATTTATTTTGAGCTTAAATTCAGTAATTTTAAATCTCGCAAAAAAAAAACCTTCAAAACGACGTATTCAATATTTTTCAACAAATCCCAACTCGAAAACGTCACATGTACACTACCGATCATAAGTTTAAGGATACCCCCAAAAACCATGCAAATATGTTTTGTTCAATGATCTCTCTTTTTACGTTCAATTTTCGATCTCCATAGGTTATTTGAATGGTCTGAATGGTATAGCATAAGTGTTCTACTACTACTTTTATTTCAAATTTTGGCCAACCCAATTCTGAGAAAATCAGTCACGATTCTTCACAGTAAATTTTGAAAAACATAGTAACTTTGGGTGAATTAAATTTCAAAATTATATTGCACAATTTGCCTACGAGGAAAGTTCCATTCAAATGATCTAAAGAGAACTAAAATTGGACGTAACATGACAGAGATATGAACATAACAAATTTGTCACGTTTTTTTGAGGGTGTCCTTAAACATATGATTGGGAGTGTAGGAACAATTGCTTTTCAGTATACGATAAAAAATGAATATAACTTTGGGTAACAAATCTAAAAATGTATTTTTTAACTTGAATAACCAAAAGTGGCTATCTTAAATATATTTAAAATGCTTATGAATAATGCTATCTTCTGTAAATTTACAAGTTGGACACTTAAAAAATAACAATTATATGTAAAGCAAAGTTCGGTGAAAGTTTTGAACATTTTGATTTTATTTGATTTTGAATATTTTTAATCAGAAAACGATTGCGATCGTCTCAAAAATGGTTTTCTGTGTAAAATTTCACAATTTAAACAAAAAATTCGACAAATTCAATCAAAAGGTGATGTTTTACGATTTTCCATAATTTGTAAGTGTACAACTTGAATATTTCATTTCCATTTCCTTTCATGATTTCGATTGGAACTGACGTTTTCGAGTTAAGAATTGTGAAAACATTTTGAATTCAACATTTTGAGGAGATTCAAAATGACCAATAAAACAATAGTTTCGTGCAAATCGGTGAAGGTCGCATCAGATCGATTCGTCATTTGACGTAAAATTGCTCACTTCGAGGCGGTGGTTTTCAAGAATCACCACCCCTATTCTCTATTCCGTTCGACACGGATCTCCCATACATTTTTTTTTGTATGGGGATCCGTTCTCCCAGCTCCCAAACTTAATAAAAGCTATAGATTTATCTCGCCGGTTTGGCTTGAAATCGTTAGCGGTGGGTGGGGTACATCAAATCTTCAGCGGTGGTGGTTAGGCAGATCTTATTTGCGAGGCTCAATCGCGGGAGTTTTACGGAGCCCTAATTTAGTTTTTTGTTGATTTGGAAGACCTATACTACAGATTAGTTGTTTAAAATGATTGGTTAGATACATCAGAACATAATGTAATATTTTTTGTGACGCCAATTGAAATAAAAAAAATTCCAACGGCTTTTCTACAGCTAAATTTAAGAAATATTTCATTTAAGCACAATATTCAGTTCATTTGATTTCTGTGCCTCATCATCATCATCATCAGTTTGGTGCATTCTTGCAAAGCAAACAACCGATAGACTAATTAGTTGCAACGCGAATCCATTTTCTTTTTCATTGTGCAATAACGATGGCGACAGTGACGTCGACCCCGATACGATCAATCTTCCGTTGTGCATCAACGCCACCAGCCAGTGGCGACGTCGGTGACAGCACAGCAATTAATAAAACTTCTCTCATCCGACACTCATTACTATTTCTGTTTTCTTTCCTTTTCTTTTCCACCACCAACAGTTCAAGGAACGCTCCAGCTCCTCGGTTCGGGAGCGATTCGTCAACGACCCGGCCTACACCGAAGACGTGCGCCATCTGGCCCTTCCGATGCGGCGGAACAGCGGCCCGGAATATGTGGACTCGGCGCACCAGTCTCGCAAGTTTTACACCATACCGAAGAAAAAGTCCAACTCGGTGGGAAAGGATTATCTACGGGGGTCGGGATTTAGTGTCGACGTGGCGGATGTGGGAAGGATTCCTGCAACGGATGCCGCGTACAACGCGCAGGTTAAAGTGAGGAGAAAAAAGTATAATTACCATAATAGTTCGGAAATGTTGCGGTTCAATGCGGACGAGTCGAGTAGTTCGGATAATCTGAGGAAGAGTGGGGGGAAAAGTTCGACGCTGGATCGACGGGGCAGGAGTTTGGATCGGAGAAGTGGTGGGGATATGGAGGCAAGGTGGTTTGAGAAGGGGGCAGAAGCGGGGGATGATGCGGCGGAAGCGAGGGGAAGGAATCGGAACTTGATTCGAAGGCAGAATGCTGCAGCGATGGAGGAAGGTTCTTCGGTGCTGCAGGGAGAGGAAGGGGACGATGGGAAAGATGGGAGCAGGAATAAATTTCAGATTGGGAAGCGATTTCTTAAAGGGGAAATCGGTATTAAGAGCTTCAATTATTACTTGCTGAAGGAGGGGCTGAAATCTTCGAAGAAGAATTTGTTGAAACAACGTTCGGTTCCGGCGGCAGAAGGGGGAGGAATGGCAGGAGCAGGGGGTTTGTCCAAAAGCGAGGAGAACATTTATGAGGAGATTTATTTCGAGGAGAAACCAAACGACCCTAGCGACGAGAAAATTCAGTTTATTGATTGTGAATTGTGTGTTCAGCAATGCAGTAACAGCAACTGTGAAGCGTGTCATAGCCATGTTTCGAAACATAAACTGCAACAGCACCACCACCATCAACAGCAGCATAAGCAATCGGAGAAGCAGAACATTTACGAACAATTGAAACAAGTACCCCCACCGGCTCCGCTGCCTGGTCCACAGCATCAGCATCAGCAGCAACAGCAGCATCAGTACAAGGCAGTGAAATCGTTGGACCTTGACGAGCTGAGCATGTACCACTCGTCGTCCTCTACGTACGGCACGGCATCGAGCAATGTCCTGCAGTACCAGTCGTATAATCCTAATAATCCGAATGTTTTCAAAATTGAAACAACACCAGTTGCGTTCGGTTGCGAGTACAACCCCATCCAGCAGATCTATTACAAACCACAGTATGGAACGCTGCCCGGAGTGCCGAGTATGACTGGACAGCAACAGCAGCGTCACCACATTTATCAGCAACCGCAAAATCTAATTTCGACCAGCTCGGACTTGTACCAGCAGATCAATAGGAAAAAATCTTCCTCATCTTCGGACTCCCTGCAGGCACGGATGCAGCGTGAACTCTATCAGCAAGCCAGTTTGTATTACTATCAACGCAAAATGCAAAATGCCGAACCGCAAGATCCATCCAAAATCTACAAAACAAACTCCAATGCATCCATCCTGAGCGAGATGTCAGCCCGCAGTGAGAGCTCCCTGAAGCATCCACGGACCGGCAATATGTCCGACTCGTCCCTCGGGGACTCGTTGTTTTCCTATCCTGCCAACCGGCGGTACTTTGGCAGTTCCGAGAGCTGTCGCTTCGCGTCCGAGTGCCGCCGCTGTAGTCTGGATGTGGACAAGTGTAGTTTCTCGGACACTTGTCGGTACGATTGCCGAAACTGTGACTGCTCGTCCAGTTATTTCTCGTCCGATTTCGATGACGCCGGCACCGGTCAGCGGAAGAGCCATTCCCGTCTGTCCGGAAACAACAGCAACGTGATGCAGGATAATTATTCCGTTCCGGCTTACGCGGAAGACTTCATGAAGCACGTCAGCAACGTGAAGCGAAACCAGCTGGGAGGACCGACTCCCCACCCCCAACATCCGCAGCAGAAACAGACACCGAGTGGTAAGATTTATGAAACCCCAACCACGTACGCCGGCATGTCGAAAAGGACACCCTCCCATCACGAGCATACCTACGAAACGTTGAAATCCAATCCTTACGGCAGCGTCCGGGCAACGTACAAATACGACGAAAATACAAAGCTGTCAATCAGTCACAGTCACGAGCTGTTGTTGTCTCCTTCGCGGAGCAAATTCCCCCTCGACGGGCGCTACTCCATGGGAGCCATCGGGCGCTACGGACCCAAATCCTCCTCCAGCACCCTCCCGGCCTCCATCACCGGCAAAGCCAGAAGCACCGAGTTTGGTCAACTTCCAAACACCACAGTCCCTTTGGCCCGCGATGCCGATACCCTCCCGAAATCCTTCACAGCAGCCGGACCTCCTCGGGCGACGTTATCAAACTTAAATCATGACTACGCCGAAATTACCCAACTCCCTTTGACCTCAATCCAACAACCGAAAGAACAGAAACAAACACCTCCACCCCCATTACCCCCAAACACCGCCAAGCGCTCCAGCGCCAAGTACACGGCCCCGCAGCCCCCTAAATCCACACAACAACCCACAACAATGCCTCGTCGCCAAGCACCACCCATTCCGTTGAACCCCCCGCTTCCCATGTGCGAACCCAAATCAATCGCATCCGGTGACAGAGATAAATCTCTGCCACGCCGGGATCGGGCCGAGTTTGAGCGAAGCAAACGTGGGGCTGCGGCTGCCGTTGCTGCCACCATTCAGGATGTGGTGGCTCCCCTACCGCCACCACCCACTTCACAGCCCAAACGGAAGGACCAGGTGCAGCAGCAAATCAGTGGTACTGGTCAACCAGGCCAGAAGAAGGAAGTGAAAAAGAAGATGCTGCTGCAGCAACAGGAGGAAGATGATGGCAATTTTACCGATGACGAGGACGACGAGGTGTTTCTCAGCGATAAGGTGCTGCCGGTGTACGAGAAGCCCACGTACGGAAGCAGCAGGAAGCTGATGACGGTGAGTGCGATTTGTTTGATAGTAGCAGTGTAATTTATTTGCGATCAATTTGGGAATTAATTCCGAATCTCCGGGTGGGGTGGCTTTTCGGTTTTGGAGTGGGATTTTCGTAATCAAAGTATTTTCCAGTTGGGGTGTGCAGCAGGTGGAGAAAAGGAACCTAATTTCGGTAGATGAGCTAATGGGATGGCCATCAGGTGGGAAGGTTTTTGCATCGGTTGATTGATGAAGTTTGAATGAGGTTTAAAGAAGTAATAATTTGATTGAAGGGATGGTAATAATGAGGAAATTCAGGATGTCAGATGTGACACCTTTTCTTTTGCCTTCAAAAAATTTCTACGTGCCAGGTGTGTCCATTCGTGGCAGAGGGATTAGAAAGACACTAATTACTTTGGTCACTTCATATGCTTTTGATGATGTTTCAGAAAAATGTTCTTTAATGAAGTATGATGATTACGTTTTAAATCTTTCAGACTATATTGCTGATTGCATCTACAACTGGACTGCACCAAAAATTCAAAAAGTGTGATTAAAGGGTGGAACGGTCAAAAATTGGTCAAACATAATTAAGTGCATACTGTTTGTTATTATATAAATAATCGAACTTTTTTTTAACTTCAACGGCTACAAAATGCAGGAATACTATTGTATTAGGCTTCCGACTTTCCAAATGCGAACTGCCGGGCTAAACGTTCCACACCATCCAGCAGATTTTGTACCGCTGTTGAATCAACCTTATTTGATGCTGAACGCCAATTTGCTTTGAACTGTTTCTAATTTTTATCTTTTTCCTGAGTTTTCTTAAGGTTTCGCTAAACGATTGCCCAATATTTTTCGGTTGGGCGCAGCTTCGGCGAGTTTTTTGTCCTTGGGTACGACTTGGACGTTGTTGGCGGCGTTAGGCGTTTTTGCAAACATTTCTTTACATACATAAAAATCTTGGTTAACAGTGCCAGTTGTCACGAAAAGTCCGCTTTTCAGCCCACATGTGCAAATCGCCTGCCAAACCAATTCCCTTAACCTTTTTCGCGAACTTTGACAACTTGTTCTGCTTGAACTTATCTTGAACCTGTCCTTTTCCGGTAGCCGTGTAAAACTCTTGACTTGGGAGCTGCTTGAAATCTGCCTTCACGTATATTTCATAGTCCATTAACGCAAACAAACTTGGTCAACAATATCGTGTAAAACTTACGTGCTCTTGCTTTGGCCGTGATGTTTTGCTTATAATCTCGATTAGGTGTCACTGTAGCCTTGTATGTTGACAGTCCGGCTCGTTTCTTGGCTCTTTGCGCTGTTGTGTTGCGATATTCCCAGCTTCTTACCAAAATCTCTGATGGAAATGGCAGGAAGGACTACGCTTGAAAACGCTGGCCACTCTTCTACCGGTCGCAGCGTCCATCCTGGTTTCAGTTTCCTCCTGATCCACTTTCAACAATTTTTCCAGGTCTGCGTAGGAAAAATTGGGATTTTAATTATGCGTTTTCGTCAAATCGTTTTATTGTACTTTTTAATAAGTAAAAACAAGCTTATTTGACGAGTTTGGTGTGAAATGAGAAATATTTGCATCTTTAAGTACGAAAACAGTTTCAAACGGGGAAGAATGAATAACATTGCCGAAGACAAACTCACAACTAGGATGTAGTTTAATGCTACTAGGAATATTTTATTGCAACATAATTTTACTGCAGAGGGGAAGTAAGTAACTACTGTTGTTTAAAATCTCTTATTAACTGACAAAAACGGCTGAGTCCTGTAGATAAAAAGGAAGAGACTTTTGGAACAAAGACTTACGTGTCGTGTAATTGTTTACACCAGATGGAACATATATATATAGAGGCCAAGTTTAACTGTTAAAACGCTCGAGGCTACGCTGCATGTTTGAAGAAGGAATGTGTGCTTTCAATGCAATGACAGTCCCTTAGGATTGGGCGATCTTCAGAGAAAGATCGATCTTGACGAATCGATGCTATATTTGGCTCTAGAATCGATCCACTGATTAAATCGGTACCAAAGAATCGATCTTTGGTAGATCGATCTTATGATTTTAATTTTAATTGAACTTTCTGACGTTTGACGTTTCTGACACTTGCGTAATCCCATTTCCAAGTACTTAGTTTGCTATCCTCACTTTCGCTCTAGCAAAAAATGTTGGCTTGTTATTGTTATGCTCATTTTCTCATACGGACTATACGCTTGTTCACGTTGGTACCCCAAGAAATATGTTGTCGTGACGGTAAGGAGCAATGAGCACAGGAGGGAGGTAGCGAAAACCTTCAAATATTGCTGTATTCATAAATATCGGAAACGCAAATAGTGACGCCATTGTAGGGATAGGGAGCGATGCTGATGATGATGTTGTGTTCGTTAAATTTACCTCGCAGTCTGGGGTGAGAGTAAATCGTTTTTTCGATGTAAATACAATTTCAAAATTTAACACCTACTGTTTTTTGAAATTCTAAAAGATCGAAAGAAGAGATCGATTTTTTCGATCTTTTCGTGGACAAAGAATCGATCCAAAAAATCGGAAATCTCGATGAAAAAGATCGATCTTCCAAAGATCGATCCAAGATCGCCCAATCCTACAGTCCCTCTTCTGGCACTGTCCCCATTAGTAATGACATTGAAACCTGTTATGCATAAATGTTGGTGTTTTAATTCTAGGAGGAAAGCAATGTCTACCCGCATAAACAATAACCATAAGATGCGCCTAACCACCAATTCGGGATATCATCCCAATTTTATGTGGTATGGTCGCACCATCTAAGATATCGTCAGTATATGGTACACGTTTATTATGGTAGGTCGGTCAGGCAAATGAACGAATACAACGATTGGATTTTGTTTGCATTAGATATCTAGCGTTGGTGTTAATACTACCGACATTATAAAGGCTGACTAAAAGTAAATTTTGTCGCACAAAAATACTTGTAATTCGTGATTCAATAAGTTTAAAAAGTGGTTGCTTTACAGTACTTTAATTAAAACTTCAAAGTTACAGCATTAGATGGTTACATTTCTCCAGTTCGAACGAAATCTCGAACCTTTCTCTTGATGGAGCCCATCAGCGCCCGCACAGTGGAAACGGATACGGAATCAGTGCATTTTAGGCATACCATTTGATAACGGCACAAAAGCATTTGTAAACAAACTTTCTAAGGCCTTTTACTTGCGAACCAAAGTACGCTCACGCAAACCAACAATATCATCGGATAGGGGCAACTATCACCTTTTCGAAAGTGGTATTGGTTTGCGTGAGAGTACTGTGGTTCGCGTGTAAATATTCTTAGAAGGTTTGTTTACAAATGATTTTGTGCCGTTATCAAACGTTATGCCTGTGATCGCGCACGGGCAGAACTTTTCCTACGTTGTGTTTATTTACGGATGTATGAATAAAAGACACAGTTTGCTTGACCGTCCTGCCATGGCGGAGGTATTCGAGATACTACTCTATTTATTGATAGTGTATAGGGATACAATATAACACACAGCTGGTAGGGTAGGAACACAGGTAGTGGACGTTTGTACAAACAGCCTGATTTCTTCACCCACATTTGTTGGATGTCCTTGACTGCCCCGCCGTTTCGTCGAAGTCGCTGCTTTGAAATTGCCCAGTATGTTTCGATTGGTCGAAATTCCGGGCAATTCGGAGAATTCATTAGCTTGGACACAAAATCGATCTTGTTGGCAGCATACCACTCCAGAACCACCTTGGAGTAGTGGCAGCTGGCCAAATCGGGCCAAAAGATGAACTTGCCCCTATGCTTACGGATGAACGGCAATACACGCTTTTTCAGGCATTCTTCTATGTAAACTTGGGATGTCATCGTGGAGGATGTGACGAATGGTTCCGTTTTCAGGCCACAACTGCAAATCACTTGCCAAATCATGGCCTCCTTCGCGAACTTGTCGGCAAACACGAGCTCGAATCTTCCCAGTACATCCCCACGTACAGTCGTGATGTAAAACTTTTGACTGGAAAGCTGCTTAAAATCGAGTTTGACGTATGTTTCGTCATCGATCAAAGTGCAGCCCTTGTGTTTCGTCAAAACACGGTCGTACAATAGCCTTGTATGATTTTTGGTCACGGAATTCTGCTTCATGTACCGGTCCGGATGTTTACTGGCTTTGTACGACTTGTATCCATCCCTGGCGAAGAAGGTTCTGCACCGTTTGAAAGTTGTCGTTGTACCTTCTGGCCACATCTCGGATCGAAAGATCGTCGATGGCTTTAACACACCTTGCTGCGCAGCTGACGATCCTTGGTTCCAGTTTTTTCGTAGGTCCGTTGATTCCTTCTACACTCAGAGTTTCCTTGTAGGGTTTGAGCACTCGACAAACTTTTGACAGACTAGCACTTTAGCCAGCTTGGAAGCGGACCACTCCGGATTTTCCAGTTGTTGTTGTGTACAATACTTTGATCAAACTTGCACCAGTTGTTCTCTATAGAAGTTTAAATAAACCACTGTCAAAGATTTTCAATTCACAACACTAGAGGCACGCTAGCTTCCGGGGAGGGGCGTACCAATTGAGAAATCCAACTTAAACTCCTGCGCGCCTGGTGGCATGTATAAGCACTAACCGACGGTGATAAGTCTGTGACAGTCTTTGACAATTCTATTGATTGTTTGCAAAATTGTTTAATTTCAATGTAATTTCTTGCAAATCTCTTGTTAAAATGGATGAATCTTGTACCAAATGCATAAAACTAATTTGTAATGCATTGTTCCTAAATAAAAATCTTCTTCAAGACTTTTAAATTATAGAAAACATGTCAAGGTTTGAAATCATGTGCCGATTAAACAGCAGACAAAGTTGGCCGACTAAATCAATCGACGAAAAACTATCAAATAGGCCGATTGCTCGGTGTATCACCAGACGAAAAACGATTTAATCTGCTGATTAATACTCTGACTGAAATTAAATTTTAAGTGGCAATAAGAGTTCTGCATTTTTGAAACAAAGAAAATAAAATGAACTCTCCGCAGAATCGGTTCATTTCG